TATCCTTTTCTAACAGTCAAGCAAATGAATGCGTAATCAGATAGTGCAAGTCCGCACATAAGTCAGCCCCTCGGGCACAGCACTCCATCAACAAATAACACCAGGGTATCTGGTAAACAATGCAAGAAGTAGCATGGATGCCAATGATATGAGAGTGCTGAATGTCATGACACGTATTACAAACAGGAACCAATGCATGAATGCAATGCAATGCACATGACCGCTGCGGCGCGCAGCCCGATCCATTTGGGTACCCGCGCTCACTGTGGGGGTTCAGACTCCGGAGGGGCTCCTACAGCCCAAGCGCAATATCATCATAGTATCGCTGCGGCGTGCAGCTCGATCCATATTCAGTCCAGATCAATGCAAATGAGCCACTCGGGCAATGTCAAGTAATAGCTTTTAACTCAAAACATCAGAAAATGCAATTTAAGTCTTTCAACTTTAGCAATATGACTGCACATTTCAAAACTGTGTTTAACTCAGGACTGAAGTCATTTAACATGCTAAGTGTCATGAAAACAGCAATAATAATCCCTAAAGGATTCAAATAATCGGCACGAAGCCCAAAACATGGCGATCAGCCCAAATCACGATAGCATCAAGCAGGTTTTAGTTAATTACGCAGTAAAATCAACAACTGGGACGGACCAAGTCACCATCCCCAACGGTGCTCTATCCCACGCTCATACCTGGCGTGCAAGTCACCACAATACAACACTATGATGTTCAAATCCGGGGTTTCAAACCCTCAGGATATCATTACAAGTATTACTCACCTCGAACCGGTGAAATCCCTAGCTCGCGATGCCTTTGCCCCTCGAATCGGCCTCCACGCGCGTCGAATCTAACCAAAATCAGAGCGAATACATCACAATATGCTAAGGGAACAATACCCAATCAAAAATAATCGAAAATTAGCAAGAATCTCGAAACTAGCAAAACCCGAGCCCCGGGCCCGCTTCTCGAAAAATTACGAAATTCACATCACCGGATTCCTCGTCTCGCCACGAGTCCATACATATAAAATTCACCAAAATCGGAGTCCATTTGACCACTCAAATCCCTAGTTTAACTTTCTTAAGTTTCAAGCCCTAACCTCCATTTTTACCCTTTAATTCCTTGGGTTTTCAGTGTTAATCCATGTTTATACACAATAATATCATAATCTAAGTCCAAGAATCCATACCCGATGATAGCCCTCGAAACCCTCTTCAATAATCGCCCAAAATCTCCTTAGTCCGAAGTCTAAAATGTTTCTTCTCTTTCAAAATCGTGAAAACACTGTTCACTTAAACCCAGCCGGGTCTCCGCTTCTGCGGTTGGGATACCGCACCTGCGGTTCCCGCTTCTGCGTCAAAATAATCGTTTCTGCGGTCTAACTTAAAATCCCCAGGATCGCTTCTGCGGTCGCAAACCGCTCCTGCGATGTCCGCTTTTGCGGACTGCCTCTCGCTTCTACGGAAATTTCCAAGCCCTCAAGGATCGCTTCTGCGATCGCTCACCCGCTTCTGCGGAACCGGTTCTGCGGTCCGTTTTCGCAGAAGCGGAAATATCAGATGACAGCAGCAACAGACCTGAAGCAAACTTTAAAAACTCTCGTTTAATCACTTGAATTCACCCCGAGGCCCCCGGGACCTCAACCAAATATACAAACACATCCTAATACCTTATTCAAACTTGTTCCAATCCTCAAAACACTTCAAACAACGCTAAAACCATCAAATCACATCAGATTCAAGCCTAAGTTCTTCAAGAACTTCCGAAATGCACTTTCGATCAAAAACCCGACCAAACGATGTCCGAATGACCTGAAAATTTGCACACATATCCAAAATCACTTAACGAAGCTACAGCAACTCTCAGAATTCCATTCCGACCCCCGGATCAAATTCTCACCCATCCACCGGAATTCGCCAAAATACTAACCTCGCCAATTCAAGCCTAATTCTACACCGGGCCTCCAAAATCAATTCCGATCGCACTACCAAGTCACAATTCATCCCCCGAAGCTAACCGAATCACCGGAAATCACATCCGAGCCTTCTAACTCATAAGTCAACGTCTGGTTGACCTTTCCAACTTAAGCCTTCCTTAAAGAGACTAAGTGTCTCATTTCCTATCCAAACCAATTCAATTCAACTATAACTCACTCGTTGCTGATAATGAAACACGAAGAAGCTGTAAATGGGGGAAACGGGGCTGTAACATATGAGACGACGGGTCGGGTCGTCACACCGTGCCATTTCATTTTACTTATGTCATCATTTCATAGTAAGGATGAGAGTAAAAGCACGAAGGGTGATGCCGTGCCATCCTTATACCTTATGTTTATCCGTCGTTATCGGTTGATGATTTATTTGGCTATCTTGTGATGTCATACCTGTTGTAGATATCGTGCCTCTTTCCCCTTTCGCATGTCCCCTCCCAAGTGTACATTGTTAAATCTCTGTTCTGTTGTTGTTTGTACATATAGACATTTTGTACAGGTTAAATTACATGAGTGTTTTATCATAGCCTCGTCACTACCTCGTCGAGGTTAGACTCGACTTTACAGAGTACATTGGGTCGGTTGTACTTATACTACACTCCTGCACTTCTTGTGCAGATTTTGGTATTGGTCCCAGCGGTACGTGAGGTGTGTCAACTTGGATTATCGTACACTGAGACTTGAGGTAGATCTGCTGGCGTCCGCAGATCTTGGAGTCCCCTTCGTCTTCCCTCTTTTACTGTTCATTTCATTCGAAACAGTTGTATTTATTTCAAACTCTATTTGTAGAATCTCGTGACTCCGGATCTTAAGGAGTAGATACTATTACATGACTTATCCTGGTGTTGTATTAGATTGAATTCCTATCTCCCGTTATTTATAATCACCTTGTTTAACTTTTAAAATTTGGTTAATCAACTATCTCACGTCGGCTTGCCTAGCAAGTGAATGTTAGACGCCATCACAATTCCAAAGTTGGAATTTCAGGTCGTGGCATACTGACGCTTTTTTGTTTTTCCCTTACGCAAACCTAGCTAGATATCCTAATTCTTACTGTCAAAAGGTGTGATAAAATATAATGAATGAGATCCCTTCACCTTTAATTAAGGGGGTCAGAATAGAATTTTGATAATAGAGAAATCCTAGTTAGGGAAAACTTCCTCAGAGCGGTGTTGGATACGAGATGGTTTTTAGAAAAGAGACGTTGATATCTTAGATAGACGGAATTTTCCAAAAAGATTGACTTATATATTTCCGAAAGTATTGTAGGCATCAGACAGCTGTGGAAGGGGAAGGTTCGCCAACCATCAAATTCATCTTCTGTAACACACTCATCTACATTGGAACAACTGCTAAAATGAATGGTTTTATAGTTCCATGCAATGCAAATGGCTAATTTACGTCATAGTATTAGCTGTCAAAATGGTCCCCTAATTATATTCCCCCTTTAATTTCTTCTCCAAACCAAGTCAACTTGAACATATTCCTTCCTCGCTCGCAAGCATGCAGTTTTTCCTAACCACTTCAACGTTTACCTTTGTTTTTTTAATTGTAAAATATCAATGTGCATGCATGGAAAGATTTACTTACATATGCATTTGTATATACATAAATAAGGATGTGGTCTAATGGTCAATGAAGTAGATTGAAAATTATAAAGTCTATTAAATTCGAGCAGCGGTAAAAATATTAAGTGATTTCTTCCCATCTGTCCGGGTATGGTGGGACAGATTTATCCAATACTTGTGTTGGCGGAAAAATAGCAATTATCCCATAGCATTAGTCAATATGTGGGCAAGCTAGATCGAGCATCACAATTAAAAGAATATTTATACAATATAGACACACAAGGCCAGATAGGAGGTAAGAGGCACCCCGTGAAATTAGTCAAGGTGCGCGCAACTTTATTTAAACACTATTATTATAAATTAAAAAATTATACGTTGATATAGACACGTACACACAAGGTGAGGAGTGTCATCAGACACTACTTCCCCGAAAAAGTTCACAAACATATACATAAATAATATTCTTTGTAAAAGACCAATAGATCGCATAATAGATCGAAATCGTATGTTATAAATTAAATTCGTAATTGTTCAAAGATATCGCGATGTTTCTATCTATTTAATCATAAGTAATGGCTGTTAATCCATGCTGTATGATGATGATAACACAATATCTATCAACAACTTTTTTTAAAATAAAAATGTTAATTAATTTGAATAACTCTCTATTGACATGCATAATGATTCTAGAATTTCTAACCTCAGTTTTAAGTTAAGGTTTCATTGACATTGTCATATCATCAAACGCAAACGAAAATAATTTATTGTGGGGTCTTGTCAAACCATGAAATATTGACAGCTATGTAGTAATTTCTATAAAACAAATAAACAAGAGCTAACTGCACCATGGTCTCAAGTTTAAACAAATAGTTTTCACTTATTCTTCTTTAGAGGGCAAAAAAAATTCAATGAAAAGGAAAACCAACACCTCCCCACCTTCCCTACAACATCAACGCTCCCTGGGAACGGAGCGAGGACTTGCAGTTTATAGGTTCAAAATGCCATTAAATTTATTACTTCATTCGGCCCATTTTGATTGATTTTTTGTCCTTTTTTTTGTGGTCCATAATATTTGATTTTTTCAGATATTAAAAAGAAATTAACTTCTTTTTTTGCAAAGTTACCCTTGGAGCGAAGAGTCTTGGAGTACCTATTATATTTTCAATGAGCAAATTAAGGTAATATGGTCACTTTTTTTGTTAATTAATATTATAAAGGTAAATTTCTTAATATGTGTAAAACAACCAAAAATTCAATTAAAATAAAGAGGAGTGAGTAAACTATTTGAGTTAGTGATGGGTTCTAAATCTAATATTTATACATAGCATTTAGTAGATTTTTAAAACCAAAAGCTATTGCTTTCGGTCGGACCCATAGCTTATTTGTCACCTTCGCCCTAGCCTCTCCCCCACACCTTCTATATATAATGCTTCTAAACCATGTCCATGCACTTCAAACACAAAATACCCTTCAGATAACTCTTTCATTTGAACCATATTATTCACTATCCACTGTCTTTTAAACTGTAAAGTAAAGTCAATCAAACACCATAATGAAAACTTCAGTTAGTTCTATAATTTCTTTCTTGTTTCTGAGTTTCTTGCTGGTGGTGGTGGCTGCTTTGGCTGGAGATTTCAACCAAGAATTTGATGTTACATGGGGTGATGGCAGGGTAAAAATACTTGAAAACGGGCAGCTTCTCACCCTTTCCCTTGACAAAACTTCAGGCTCTGGATTTAGGTCAAAAAGACAGTATATATTTGGAAAGATTGACATGAAAATCAAACTTGTTCCTGGCAATTCTGCAGGCACTGTTACTACATACTATGTAAGTCCCCTATAAGTTAATCATCCTTAACATATATACTTTTAATTTCTTCCTATAAATGTAGCTCATCTTATTTTTGCGTAGTCAAATATTTCAGGCAACTGCCTTGAGGATCGTTTAATTGATTGATTAGTTGTTATTGTTTTTGTATGCTACTAATTTTTCGTGTATACACTGCCATCGTAAAAGAATTTTTAGAATAACAATTTAGTTTAACGAACTGTAACAAATAATCTGTCTTACATTCACGTTACTATGTCGTAATTCTCAATGATGATTATTTAATCTACTAGAGTATATTAATTATTATTTTTATCGGACTATTAATACCTCTCATAGTGAATTAGTGTAATTACCTTAATACATCAACTATATATAAGCCACTTAATTACTACAGTACAATATTGAGGACTTTCTAGTGTTGTACTTATATTTTGTGCCAATGGTGAATGAAAAATGCAGTTATCTTCACTGGGACCGACTCATGACGAGATTGACTTTGAGTTTCTTGGCAACCTAAGTGGAGACCCTTATATTCTTCATACAAATGTGTTCACACAAGGCATAGGAGACAGAGAGCAACAGTTTTATCTTTGGTTCGACCCAACTAAGGATTTTCACACCTACTCTATTCTTTGGAATCCTCGAAGCATCATGTAAGCATACTTTTTATATTTTTATTTTTCTCGAGATATAAGAATTTAATTGAAGTGCAAGTGTTATCAATCCATTAAGGGGTCGTTTGGTTGGAATATGATTTATACCGGTATAAGTCATGCCGGTATAAGTTATATTGGGATAAGTTATGCTGGGATTACTTATGCTGGGATTATTGTTTATTCATTATTTGGTATGTTGTATTAAGAATGACAATTGCATAATTTCTAAGAAGAAGGTATAAGTTATTCCGGTGATAATTACCCCACCTTTTATAAGGTATAAGTTATCCCAGTGTTAAAATTAACACCGGGATAACTTATACCTGGTTTACTAACCAAACAGAGTATTAAGGTGGTATTAAATTTTTATACCACCCTTATACCTTCTTATACCTCATACCAAACGACCCCTAATTATGTTGAACTAATTGTACTCCCTCCGGTCCACTTCAAGTAATGTTTTGACATTTTTTATGTGGTCCAAAATATTTAATTTTTTCATATATTAAGAAGTAATTAACTTATTTTTTCCAAAGATGTCATTGGAGTAAAGAGTCTAGGAGTAGTTTGTTATATCTTCAATTAGCAAATAATGGTTAATATGATCAATTTCATCGTTAATTAATGCTAAAAGGTGAATTCTTTAATAGGTGTGAAAAGAGTCAAAATCACTTAAAATGGTCAATTGGTGACGTTTATGCTTCTTAGATTACATAAAAGTTTTCCGATAAACTTGTGTAAAGTGATAAATATTAAAAGTTTCGTGTAATTTTATTTGGATTAATTATGTCTTTTCTCTCCCTATTATTATGGAGTATATATTTGGACCAATTATGTCCTTTCTCCCCCTATCATTAACCTATCTTAATTATTCAATATTATAAAGTCCTTAAGATGAGAGATTACTACGAGAAACACAAATTTTCAGATTTAGAACATTAAAGGGTGGGATGGATAGGATCCCTCCGCCCTTAATTAGATGTCTCGTATTTGAACCATTAAAATAAAAAAATCATGATAGAAAGTGCTTTTTCTTAAATGGGCTCTACGAGGCAAAAAATCTAAATAAGCTTTTAAGTTTTAAATAATTCAGCAGCTAGCCAAATATAAAAAAAATATACATTAATTTTTTATAATATGTATATTATATGTTAATATACAAAATATATATAATTATCGGTATTATGTTGAGAAGCAGCTATACTATATAAAAATTCCAATCTAAAGTTAGTCCAGCCAGTGAAATTTTGGAACACTAGATAGTCAAACAAAAAAAATCCATATTAAGTGGTGAAATAGTATTACTTGTCTTAAATGTTCTTATTATTCCATGCTTTTAACTTGTATGTACAACGAATTAGTGGGAAAAATACAGTCAAGCAACTATTTGAAAATCACCAAATTAAAACTCATTATTAAGATAAGAATTTAACTAAGTTATAGCATAATAAAATTTTGGCTGTAATTCTTTTAGTTAGAGCCATGCCTGCTAATTACTCATCTTCTTCTATTTGCTTTCCTTAAATTTATATCAGATTTTCAGTAGATGGGACACCAATAAGACAATTCAGGAATCTTGAAGCTTCAAGGGGAATTCCTTATCCAAAAAATCAACCAATGTGGATATACTCAAGCTTATGGGATGCTGAAGATTGGGCAACAAGAGGAGGACTTGTCAAAACTGATTGGAGCCAAGCCCCTTTCATTGCTTCTTACAGAAATTTTAATGCCCAAGCATGTATTTGGTCTTCTGGTTCTACTTCTTCTTGCTCCAGAAATTCCACAGCCAATTCTTGGATAACTGAATCATTGGATAACTCTGGCCAAGCAAGGATTAAATGGGTGCAAAAGAATTACATGGTTTATAACTACTGCACTGATATTAAACGTTTCCCTCAAGGATTTCCCCTTGAATGCTCTCTAAATTAATGCAAGAAAGGAAAATCAGAAAAATTATCGTTTTAAAAAACTTCCTTAGTGCAACTGTAAGAGTCGTTGCCGTGTGAGATTGAGGTTGCGGGTTCCAACTATTCAAATAATTTCCTGTAGAACTATATAAAGTAAGGCCGAGTGCAATAAAAATTGTAGTTTGACCATTCCTATGCATTGCACATAGCAGAAGCTTGGTGTACTAAACTGCTCTTTTAAAAGGTTATAGCCTTTTTCTGGGTGAGTTTTCTCTTTATTTTTGTACTGTAAATAGATGTATAGTATCACCAGAGAGTAATATTATTTGTTTGTATTTATTAATAAGATATTATTTGATTGTACTTATTGATAAATTTGAAATACTCCCAGATATGCATTTTATACTTAGAGCATTGTCCCTTTCATGTAGGACTGGGCATATATCGGGTAAAATCCATAATCCGAACCGTTAATTATTTGTTGGGTTATCGGTATTGGGTTATTGGGTTAGCGGTTCGATAACGGTTTAGAAATTTTTCACTATCGGGTTATCGGTTCGGGCCTCGGTTTGCCAATTTTGTTAATGGGTTAACCGATAACCCAATAAGTGTTAATGAAATTACTACTTTATCCTTAAGTATATACAAATGTGAGGGTTTTACTTCATTCTTTCCTATTTATGGGTCTGATTGTGTTTTTAGTTGTAAAAAGTTGTAATCTTGAAGGTAATAATGCTGAAATCAATTGTTTGTTTAGTGTATCGTTGTGACTTTTCTTATGTGATTTGATGAATTCAGTGTTTTAAAAATCTTTTAGAGATGACTAGCAAATAAAGTAAATTCAAGAACTTAACGTGCTTATGGGGTTTGATTAAGTTCAGTAGATTTTTGGGGTAGGTTTGACTTCTAAGAAAAATAATTCCAAGAGCTGATCCTTTCCTTCTTTTTTAGGGTCTGAAATTGTTTCCGTTTTGTTGTAGGTTTCGGTTCTTCTCTTTTTTGCTTAACTCCAGTGAATTGTCTTTTTTTTTTTTTTTTTGCTTAACTCTAGATTGAGTTATCTTATCGGGTAAACTGATAACCGAACCGATAATAATCGATAACTGATTAACCGATACCCGATAAGTGATATCTTATCGGTTCGGTTATCGGTTTATCAAATTTATAAACCGATAACCGATATGCTAAACCGATAATATTCATAACCGAACCGAACCGACTGATGCCCACCCCTACTTTCATGTTACGCACCAAAATTCCACTAAGGTCATGATAGGACCTAAACTAACCCGTTATGTAAGCCAACATATAAAAATAACCAAAATAAAATTAAGTAAGTGTCAATCTATTGTCATAACATAAATAAAGTATAAATAAGTCTGAATTCCCAAAATCCGGTAATATAAGCCTTGGGCCACTAAAATAGAGTTTAAATAAATCTTAAAATACAGAAATATTATTTGAAGCAAGAAAATTATAGTAGGATAGGGAGGAGAAATCCATAAGCTGCGAATCCAAGTACAATAGCTCACCAAGAAGTCTTTAAGTCAACTACTCTACACCCTCCTGGACGCCGCCAGAACCAACACCAGGATCTGCCCAGAAATATATAAAAGTATTGTATGATTACAAAATCAGCTGTACTCAGTAAGTATCAAATCTAACATTCGATAAAGTACTGGAGAGATTTAGGAAAAAAAATACATACTTCCATAACATGTTTAACTGTAACGACCCAACCGATCATTTTGAGCATTTTTATTTTCATTCGTGGTTGAGGTCGTGAATAGCTTCATGTGATATATTACGACTTGCGTGTATGGTCGGTTTTGATTTTTGAGTGATTCGGGATTGATTTGGAAGAATGACTTTCAATTTAGAAGCTTTAAGTTGGAAGAGTTGACCAGGTTTGACTTTTGTGTATTTGGCCTCGGATCAAAGTTTTTATTGTTCCGTTAGGTATGGAAGGTGTTTATTACTTGGGCTTATGATTTGATTCATTTTTCAATGTTTCTATAAAGTTTCGGCTCTATTTGGCGAAAGTTAGCAATTTGGAGATTTGGACAGTTCATATGTTTGACCGACAGTTGACTTCAATATTTTTGGGTTCGCATTGTTGTTCTGGGAGTTAAAATAGGTTCATTAAATAATTTAGAACTCGTGTACAAAATTTGAGGTGATTCCAAGTTGTTTACATGTGTTCGGCGTAAGTTTGGCACTTAAAAATTTGAAATAGTTCATTAAGCTTGATTTGAGGTACGATTCCTGGTTTTGATGTTATTATGTGTGGTTTGATATCTCGAGTAGGTCCGCATTATATTTTGAGACTTATTGGTATATTTGGACGGGGTCCTGAGGGGTTCAGGTGAGTTTTGGAATGGTTTCGGACCATTTCGGAGTTTGCATGAGATGCTGGTTTTCTGGTGCTCCAGTTGAGCTTCGCGATCGCGGGAACAGAGTCGCGATCGCATAGAGTATTTGGTCAGTGGAGTTGAAAGTTCATCGCGTTCGTGGAACAGCCGACGCGTTCGCAAAGAAGGAAGTTGGACTAGAGAAGATTGCCCTCCGCGTTCGCGAAGGGGAGCTGGTGCTGTTGCTTTCGCGTTCGCAAGGTTTTACCATGACCGCAGAGGCTTGACTGAGTTGTTCATCGTGATCGCGATCCTAGGGACATGAACGCATAGTGTTTTTCTGGGCAATGTTCATTTTGTGCTTCGCGATCGCGAAATAGGTCCCGCGATCGCGAAGGGTACACCAGAAGCAGAGATATAAGATATTATTTTCAGACTTTGAGTTCATTTTTATCACATTTTAATTTGGGAGCTCGGAATTGGGCGATTTTGGAGGGGATTTTCACGACTTGGATTGTGGTAAGTATTATTAACTCGAATCTGATTATTTTTACATAATTCCGTATTTGAGTTTGGCATTTGAGCGATTAATCTAAAAGAGAAATTGGGGGTATTTGTCAAAAATTTACTGAAGTAAATATTGGGGTTTAAACATCGATTCAGAGTCGGATTTGAGTGAAACTAGTATGGTTGGACTTGTATTCGAATAGGTTGCCTGAATTTATGAGTTTTGTCGAGTTTCGGGTTGTGGGTCCAGGTTGACTTTGAGTATTTGATTAAAAGTTTGACCTTAATCATTGGGGTTTGTTTCCTATGGCATTATTTGATGTTTCTCGGTTGCTTTCGGCTATTTTCGAGCCGTACGGAGGTCGATCCGCGTGGGATGGTATTTCTAGAGTATTGTTTTGGATTGCTTGAGGTAAGTATATTTCCTAAACATGGTTTGGAAACTAGTTGCCTGAGTTATTTGTGATAGCTACGTGCTATGGGTGGAGCATATGTGTGGGGTTGAGCCCATGTGCGTGCACAAGGTATTTTTCATGCTCGGGGGTAGTATTTAGGCTATGTTAACCCTTAGATTGGTTTCCAAGCTTCATGCAATGATGATTCTTATATTTGTACCCTTGTGGTGAGCTATTTGAGCCATATTTGAGGTTACATAGAGGTTAATCTCCTGATTTAACCCGATAACTGCTATTTTTGTGATGTATTTGCCTGATTTGAGCTATGATTGCACACTTTGCACATGCATACACCATAGCATGTCACTTACACCAGTACATGATTATGAAATTTGATGTTAATTGATCATTTATATGTATTCTTGTATGTCTGCTTTCTGTGTGATATAGATTGGACTGGTAGCCTGTGACCATGCCGAACGGATTGTGATATTAAGCTTGTGACCAAACCTATCGGATTGTAATATTGAGCCCGTGACCACGCTAGGTGGATTGTGATATTGAGCATGTGACCATACCGGGCGGATTGTGATATTGAGCTTTTGACCACGTCAGACGAATTGTGATATTGGCACGTGAGTTGTCTGTGCGGTTAATATTATTAGCACGTGAGTTATCCGTGCAACACGTGAGTTGTCCGTGCAGATCTGAGATATTGATATTATTAGCACGTGAGTTATCGGTGCAGCATGTGAGTTGTCCGTGCGATTGATATTGTTAGCACGTGAGTTGTCCGTGCAGCACGTGAGTTGTCCGTGTAGCATGTGGATATGGATCCATCCCCCTAGGGTCAACCTCTCATGCTTCTTGATGCTGTTGTAACGACCCGACCGATTGTTTTGAGCTCTTGCATGTAATTCGGCAGTTTGAGACCTTGAGTGGTTCACTATATATATTATGACTTGCACAGGTAGTCGGTTTTAATTTTCGAGAAGTTCAAACTTGATTTGGAAGAATAATTCTCAATTCGAAAGCTTTAAGTTAGAAGAGTTGACCAAGGTTTGACTTTTGAGTAAATGATCCCAGAATAAGGATTTGAAGGTTTCTATAGGTTTGTAAGGTGATTCCAAACTAGGGAGTATATTGAGTATCGGATTGTCCGGGAGCGATTTGGCGCTTATTATTGGAAGTTTGCATTTTAAAAGTTTTTGAGTTTGCTAGGTTGACTTGGAGTGGACTTCGGTGTTATCAGACTCCAAGTGGTGTTTTGGGACCTTGGATAGGTTCATTTAGTTAACTGGGACTTGTGTGTGAAGTTTGGTCGTGATCCAGAATGTTTAAGAGTGATTCGGATGCTTATGTTACATACTACTCCCTTCGTTTCAATTTAGATGAGGTAGGTTGACTCGGCATAGAGTTTAAGGAAAAGAATAAGACTTTTAAAACTTGTGGTCTTAAAATCATAAGGGGTAAAAGCTTTGTGGGGCCATGATATTTGTGTGGTTATAAAAGCTTCCCATTAAGGGTAAAATGGGTAAAATGAAGAGTTTAAAGTTGAATTATTTTCAAATTTAGAAATGTGTCATTTATTTTGGAACAAAATAAAAAGGAAAGTACCTCATCTAATTTGAAATGCATGGAGTAGTTAAGTTTAAGAAAATGAGTTAACCACGACCAAATAGTGTACTTAACAAGATCAGATTCATGATTTAAAAGTTTCAACATGTTTGTGTGATGATTTTGGACATGTTTTGGTTAGATTCCGATGTGTTTCAGATGTGTTTGGATTGTGTCACGATCTTATTTGATGTTTCGGCGCCATTTCTTTTGGTATAAAGGGTACCATATTGAGGAAACGACCATTGATTTGTGATTCGATCAAATCATAATTACAGAACTATAGCAACAAGAATCGTCAAATTCCGAGGTCGTATGAGAGAGTTATGCCCATTTCAGATTCAGGAAAGATTGCTTATTTGGGTACGATTTTTTGTTTTTCACAAAAAATTGCTCTTCACGAATGCGATGGTGTCCCGCACAGGCGATGAACAGAAATTACCTGGGCAGTGTTTTAAATTGGCAAATCGAGCATATTAGTATTTTGAGCATATCTTGAATTTTAGA